CATTGCCTCACACGTGCGCTACACAGAATGCCGACGGATGCACTCAGCGTGTGCGCGGGATGCGGCACGAAGCAGGTTGTCTTTCACGTGCTGCGCCAACCCAGCAAAACTTCACTGTGGACCCCCTACCTGTGCTTAGCAAAACTTCACATGCCTGGGTCTAAGGCCTCACATAACAACACTCGCACAACACTCACAGCTAGCTCAGGGTCAATTCCATAACAACACTTCCGCTATCTCCAGTGCCAATCACTGGACGCTGATATCACACGGGGATCTCCAACAACCGCAGTATAGTAGCAGCATATGGGGGAAGAGGGAACGCCGGGGGAGGGCGAGGAGAAGAAGAAGAAGAAGAAGAAGAAGAAGTTCTGTGGGGTGACCTTCAAGGTGCAGCGTAGCCAAACGTCTGCCTTACTGTCGACAGCTACTACAGATTGCAGCGTTGGTCTGACAGTGTGTGACTAAGTACATCTGTGCGCATGTATGTGTGTGTGTGTGTCAACATATTCGCTATGCACAACTCGACAAAGAAAAGCATCACTATGCCCGACTTTCGTCACACTTTGTGTGTGTGTGTGTGTGTGTGTGTGTGAGAGAGAGAGAGAGAGAGACAGTGTGTGGCTGAGTCCATGTGTGTGTGTGTGTGAGAGAGAGAGAGTGCATGGCTAAGTCCATGTGTGTGTGTGTGATGTGTGTGTGTTGTGTGTGTGAGAGAGAGAGAGAGCTTGGTATGCCAATCTACAGTATCCTCCCAGACATGACATGGTGGACAGTTTTTTCTCTCTCCCATGCACAGACAGCTGCAACTGTCTACCCTGACATTACTGTACCCATCTGATTCTCTGTATTTGAACTTGTGATCTGTTGACTAACCAAAAAAGAAAAAAAAAGAAAAAAGAAAAACGTGTGTTGCCAATCAGCCGTCTGAGTCCGTTAACAGGGTCAGGGGCAAGGCCCCCGTGACACAGTTTCCATGTCTCTGGGTGTCGATCCTTGTAATCAATCAATCTACAGTCTCCCGAACGAGGCGTCCATGTGCGTGGAACCTCACTCCAGAATTTTATTTATTTACTTATTCACTAGGCTACCAGAATGGCCCGGGGTCACTTGCCCGGCCGGGCCAAAAAAAAATAATAACAAAATATATATATATTTTTTAATTTTATTTTTTATTCTAAATTTGGTGAAGAATTTCGATGTGACCCTGAGGCAAACATTGTTCAGTTTCTTTTTCTGCATAACATAGTTTTTTTCCGGATTTTTTGGATTTATTTATTTATTTATTTATTTTTGCTGGGACCTTCCCTGGTCCTTGCACGGCTGGCCACCCAGGACCCGGGCGGCCCGGCTGGTAGCCTAGTTTACTTATTTATTTATTTATTTATTCATTTATTTATTTATTTTGCAGAAGCTGTTCGATTGTTTCTTCTTCTTCTTCTTCTTCTTTCATCTTCTTTTTGGACCGTTTCTTATTTATTTATTTATTTTGCAGAAGCTGTTCGATTGTTTCTTCTTCTTCTTCTTCTTCTTCTTCTTCTTTCATCTTCTTTTTGGACCGTTTCTCAATTACTTGTGCATGTCATCCTGGTGCAGGGACCATGCTAATTAATAATTAATCTTCTCTGTGCGAGGATCTGGGTCCTCGGCAGGTCTAAAGGGCCCCTGCTGCATATGTGCCCACCCTAAGTGAAGGCGGGCCTAACAAATCACGAGATGCCCTCGACTGTCAATTTCGTATTTGGGGGTCCAGACAGTTGCGACGCGCCAGTTGGTTAAAGGAAACACAGGCCGAGCAGCAAGAGAATTCCACAGCCTTCCTGGCCTTTCCGGAAGTGCAGACCCTGGGCAAGAATCGCAGCCTAATACACAGACAGTTGAGAGGCCCAACCGAACGAGGCCCAGTAGCCGCAGCAGAGGCGCAGCATACTGGGGCCTACCGGAAGCTTCTGTGCCAAGGCCCAGGCCAGCCAGGCCTCCAATCGAGGCAGGCTCTTTCCATATAGCAAAGAGCTCGCTGCCTGGATGGTCATTCGGGCACTTGCATGCTAGCGGCAGCGCTGCTGGAGCGGACGCTCGCGGGCTGTGGCTGGCGCTGAGAGGCAAGGTGCGGTCGTGTGCAGAAAAGGGCGCTGCTGAGGGCAGTGCCATAGCCCATCCTCCATAGCTAGGTGGGCTTGGTCTACAGTGAGGAGCAGGGGGTGGTCTTCGGGTGTACACAAGGAAGACGCGGGTGTATGTCGAGGGAGAGAGAGAGAAGGATGATGATGATCATCATGTGAGGGCACATACGTGGTAATGACGATGGTCCGCTACGGGCGACATCTTCAAGTACTTCGTTGGCTGCTGACGTCAACAGTTGCATTGTCAATTAGTAGGCTAGTAGTAGCTGTGTAGGGAGTAGGCTGGGCGCCGAGCGCCAAGTAGGGAGAAGGGCCTGGATACATATGTTGGTGGTGGCGAGAGCAAGCTCTCATTCTCCATGGTGTCATATTGGTGCAATGCTGGTTCCTGAACACTGTGATACGATCTGGCTTTCAATGTGATTGTGCAATCTGTATATTGTCATCTCGCTACTGCTCATTTTCCTTGCATCTGTATCATTCCAACGTCAAACCGCCAGTACCTCCGAAAGTTGGGCCCATTAACAAGGCACAGTTTTAGGAAACGAAATGTATGCGCCACTACAGGAATGCCCAAATTCATCCGACTAGAAACGTTTCTACTCTTTTTTTTTTTTTTCGGCGGCCGATAGCCGGGCCAAGTACTGGTGGTTTATCAGACGTCCCAACGGACTATTCAATTGCTGCTTTTTTCCCCATCTTAAAAGTTAAAAGAAAAGGCAAAAAAAAAAAGTCCTTTTCTGAAGATGTCCTGGCCTTAACCAGGCCGGTCGAGATGCGCAAAACAGGCTTTAAAAGTTTTATACGGAAAAAAAAAAAAAAAAAAAAAAAAAAAAAAAAAAAAAAACAATGAGCCGGACAAAATCTGGGGCACGGTCTGAATTACCTTAAGTTTTTTTTTCCCTGGCAGATTACAATGGCAGTGGCGGACCGATAAACAGTGTGAAATCCGGTTGGAACGCAGAAAACAGCCTTTATGAGTTTATAGTACTTTATACGAAAATTTAAAAAAAATTGAGAGAGAGAAAAATTGGGGCACGGTCTGGGTTATCCTATCGTCTTCACACGAATAAAATGCCCGGTAATTATCACTGCATCTGGACTGGTAGTTGTGCCAAATGCAGATATAATGACCGGGCGTTCTATTCGGGTGAAGATGGCAGTGCTGTCGATTTGGTCTGGCAGATCACAATAGTGAGCTGAGTGCATACTCGCACTGGGACTTTTATGCTTGTTTCGGGACGTAATTGCGGTCAGATACATCCGGATGCGGCTGTGAATGGGGTCAGATACATTTAAGATAGAGCTAGTGTGTGTACGCCCTGAGAGGGATTCCTCAGTCAGATAATCGGGAAATAAAATCCGAAATATTACTAAGAAGGAGAAGGGCTTGGAGCCAAAAGATAGAAGAGTTAGAATTTAGAAAAAAAAAAAAAAAAAAAAAAAAAAAGAGTGGCTTTGCCCCTAATCACTTGTAATGTCCTCTGCAAGTCATGGTCAAGGTGAGGATGAGCTCAAAAAAAAAAAAAAACAGAGAAGAAGAAGAAGATAAGAAACAGCAAGGGTAGAGTGGTGGTACATCCTTCCGGAAAAAGGAGGTAATCAATACGGCGCAGGCGAGGATGTCTCGGTGTCCCTCCGCCATAACGAAGGGAAGTGTAGAGTGGGTATTCCGGGCGAGCAAGGGACGCTGGACCCATTTCCCAGACATGTTAATAAAAAGAGATGTTTTTCTATTAAAAAAAATGTTTCAAAAACTTTAAAATCTGGAAAAAGAAACATTTCTGTCTTTTAAAGTTTAAACTTTAAAGTTTAAACCCTTTTTTCCCCCCCCTTTTTGAGGATTCGAACCCAGGTGTGAGAATCTAACAGTTCATGGGTGTACCATAAGTGTATTATTCAGCCACTGTTGATTATTGAAAAAAAAAAAAAAAAAAACTGTTCTTCAGACTGCACCGATGCTTTTTTTCTTTTTTCTTTTTTTAACACAAACTCAGACAGGCCCATCTATTCTTCTGCTAGATATTTTAAGGGGCGCTGGACGTACTTCCCCCCAGGTGGTGGTCCCCACCATTCAATAGAATGAAGTCAGTGACATCACAATGCCTCAATTGAGAAGATGCTCCTGTCAACCTCAGGATTGATGGCTTGCGACGATGAAATTAAAAAAAAAAAAAAAAAAAAAAAAAAAAAAAGCAGAACAAAAAAAAAACGATTTTTGCCGGTTTCTCTTAATTTTTTCCTGAATTTTTTTTGTTTTAATATTTTGTTAGCTTTGACGTCTTTAATCTTTTTTTCTCTGTTCCAGTGAACCACAGAATATCATCTTGGCAGCCTCTTGTGGCAAAGGGTGCCGGTTCGATTCCGTGCATGCATGGATGGGATCCAAGGCCAGAAAATACTGACTGAAAACCACACAGCGCATCGTACATGTGCTTGTCACAAAGCACGGCGCACAACTCTATCCACTTGACTGAACTTGTACCACTTTTCAAGGCATATTCACACTAGCACTTTCCTAAATCTATCTGAAGCCCAATTACAGACGACGCCAATGCATCTGACTGTGATCACGTCCAGAGCAGAGTCAAAAAAGTCCTCGTGTGAATATGCCCTCAGAAACCTATCTCCACACAGTCTGCAGATGGGCTTCTGAAAAAAATCTGTACACACTTGGCACCCAGGATGGTTTGGAGAAGGGGG